GCCCCCGCCCCCGCCCCCGGCCTCGGCGGTCGGCCGACGACTCCAGTCAAGGCCTCTCTCCAGACACGGTCACACACACTCGCTGGCGGGCGAGCGGGCGAGCGGGCTTTTGACCTATAAACTCCCAAAGGCTCTTCCTCGTTGAGGCGCGAGCGGCGCTGGGCCCCGCCCCGTTGTCGCTCCCCAGCCACTGACCCCGCCACGCCCTCTGCGCGCAAACGGAGGCCGAAGGTGGAGCACAGCGCTTCTAGCGATGGCAAGAATTCGCATTGATGGTCGAGAAGGCATTCGACGCGGACGAAATCTGCTCTTCCTTGCGACTACATCGAAAATCTGATTCATTGTAACCTGGAAATCTGGAAAATGGAGAGAAAAATAATCAGGTTAACAAATATGACAAAATGAGCCGATAACAAACATAGAAATCGAGAAATTTTTGGAATGTGACTGAATTTCCATAATATTTGAAGGTCCACAAATGCACTATAATTGAAAGGACGTATTTGTTGTTGTTTTTATCAATTTTCCCGATAATTCCCAGTTTATCTTAAATTTATGTTGAATTACCCGCTCCCCTCTATTAATTTGGTGCTAGTGTCACCTGTGCTCCAGATTCAACAATTCGTATTGCGGAAAACAATTTTGAGATGCTCCTTTTCTTGTGCAACGATTTCCGCCCGGAAACGTGAAGCAAATATCCACCCTGGCCGTTCTTAATCAACAAATCACAAGATTTCGTCTTGTTCGGTTACGCGCAAGAAACTGTGGCTGAAATCGAGTGCATGCCGCCTAGAAAAAGCGCGTGAAAAAGTCACCCGGTCCGGGTGTTCGATTCTCGGGATGGCGAAGTCGGAGCGCTGAGCGAAAGGGGAGGGGAGGGGAAGTGCGCAGCGAGTGGAGGGAACTGGCTCGCCCCGGGGCCTCAGAAGGGCGAGTCAAGGTCGCGCCAGTGCTCCTGTGGGCCGGCCGGCCGGCCGGCCGGCCGGCCGGCCGGCGCCGCGCGCCCCGCCCCGTGCTAGCGTTGCAGAGATGGGCGGTCCGTTTGATATTCGGTGGGCACCCTACACCATAGCATAGCCTACATACCTAGTTACTGCTAAATTTACTCATCGTAGAGCCTACCGTAGCACGTGTGTACAGCCGGATCGCGAGATGTTCGAATAAGGATGGGCGGGGGAAACGTTCGAGTTATTGATGTTTGTATTTAATAAGTTTGACCGGACTTGCAATATTCCAGTTTCACAAGGCAAAGGGAAACTAATAGAATTTACTATATCAAGAAATTGGAAATTGTCCAGCGTTCGAGTTTGAGTTTCTACGGTATTCTTTAACTTGGTTACGAAATCAAGAATAAGCTGTTTCTTCATTCTCTAGTCCTTTGTATTGAATTAAACAGGCAACTATATTCACTTACAGAGAGATGTCCCAATGGTAATAGTCGTATCAAATCTATTGCAATATACGATTGAAATTTTCACTTAGTTCGTTCTCACTGCCGTTCTTCGGAAGTATAAAATATTTTGCGTATAATTTTACACTCTGGCTTTTGGTTGCCTTCTTGAATGTTTATTTAATGTATGAAAATATAAATATAATACAGAAAATATTGAAGTAGCAAGTATAGTAAAGATGTAATATTTCCGTTAAAAGTCTCGAAGAACCAATGAGCCTTCTCCTGATAGTATCATTCCTGATTGCTTTTGTATTTCAAATTAGTAAAGGATACATTGATCATTGACTAAATTCAGTGAGCGAAAGTAAATAAAAAAAACGAAACAAGAGGTTCAGTTAGATTGCATTGACTTCTCCACTTTTTGATTTTTTTTTTTTTATTTGTTGAAATAATTATTCATTTTGCATAAAATGGACTAAACATCACATGATCTTATTAATGTGTATATATTTATTTTATTTTGCAGGGAGGGAGGACCTGTCCCCTCCGAGCAGCCTCAATGGCTACAACATGGATGGATGCGATTCCAAGAAGAAGAAAGGACCCGCACCCCGCCAGCAGGAAGAGCTCTGCCTTGTGTGTGGGGACCGAGCCTCCGGTTACCATTACAACGCCCTCACCTGTGAAGGATGCAAAGGTGATTGCTCAACAATTAATGAATTTTAAGCAATAATAAATTAATAAAAGATAACGGTATTCGTCACAGAACACCAAAACAATACAAGTAAAACCGCAGTGTCAATGCAAATGGACCTCCCAGTGCTCCAAATGGCCTGCCACTTTCTGCGTCTTACCTTCATATCCTGAGTCTAGTCTCCTTTAGTGTACAATAGTATCCGCAAATGCTGGAATGGAGTTGGGCTTTTCCAAGAAAGGGAAGCGACGATTTAAAAGCAATAAGCTTATTCATGACGTAACGTCCGGGTAAATCGGAAAGAAATTGGGGTGCCATAAATCTTAAGCTTTCTGTTCGGTTAACAATTATTTTTACGTGTTTTGGCGCAGGAAGTAATCAGAAAATGGTTCACAAAGATTATTTGAATATAAGTCCGTTCCCGTTTGCTTTTTTCTTAAATTATTTGTAAAATAATCTTCTAGTGACTATTTCACTTGTGAAATTAAAACCAATAATGTTTAACTGTACATATAATACACCCCAATGAGGCCTGTGTATCTAATTTGTTTTTCTATCCGATTTTTCTTACCGCTCCTCTCTATTAGTCTATATGCTACGAATAATCTATCTTAAGACGATTTCTCGTGTCGAGGATTTATCGACAATTTCCAAAGCACTCATGGTACTATCGGTGAGAAAGTTTACGTACCTAAAATATTTGGTTTCCCCTAGATAAGTTATTAAATAAGCAAATTACACATCTTTTAACAAATTCATTTCGTTTCCTTCGCTTTTTGTCTAAATTTTGTGGCGTGTATACATACATAAGAATATCCATTCACAATTAAAATTATTGTATAAAGGTTATTTGTGCAAGAGAGTGAAAATGTTAGCTAGCACATCTTTTACAAAAGTGGACACAAAGGTTGGATAGTCTAGCACTGCTCATTTTATTTTGTTCCTGAATATAAATATCTTGTGAAGAGAATTTGTTAACATTGGAGATCCAATAGCAACTCAAGCCCCCAAATTTTGCGTATGTGAGACAGAGCAAGAAGAATTCAATACAAAATTTCAGAAATTTTATCTCAAAGGCTGATTTTGTAGAGGGTCTGGAATAAAGGCTGTGCTGATTGGAGGTTCTTACATGTATGTTAAATGATGATTCAGTATCTTTCAGTGTTGACTGTACTTGATATTGGAAAGGTTTTTGGAACGGCTTTTAATCACTCTATCTTGCAGTGCTACTATGGATCTTTCAAAGTGAATGTTGATAATATATAGCATTATATAGTTGACATATAAGAAGCTGATATTCTTTCACATTATTTGAGAAGAATGGAGGCGTACAATAAGTTATCCTTTCTTTTTCTTCTTCAATGTACTAAAGTTTTACTGTTTCCAGGTTTCTTCCGAAGAAGCATCACAAAAAATGCTGTTTATCAGTGCAAATATGGTAACAATTGTGAAATAGATATGTATATGAGGAGGAAGTGCCAAGAGTGTAGGCTGAAGAAATGTTTACATGTTGGCATGAGGCCAGAATGTAAGTACTTGTTTGCAATACCAGAGTTGTAGTTTATTTTTTTAATTCAAAACTTTAAAAAATGACATGAAGTTTACTGATGAGGCAATTTCTTTTTCTTCTAAAGGTGTTGTACCTGAATACCAGTGCGCAGTGAAGAGAAAAGAGAAGAAAGCTCAAAAGGATAAGGACAAACCCAATTCAACCACCAATGGCTCTCCAGAGGTTGTCATGGTAAAAGATCCTGATTGCAAGGTACAATTGAGGGCCAGATTGGACCTCCACATGTGGTGACATGCTGGAATTCTTTTATATTAAATTTTACTTAAATTTTTTTAAAATTTCTTTTGTATTTTTACCTAAATGTTTTATGGAGTTGTTCCTTCAGCATAGTCAGAGTAAATTTAGGGAAATTTTCTATCAGAATATCACCACTTCAAATTAATGCGTAATTACAGTATCTCCAAATATTTAAAAAATAGGAAAAAATAATTTGTGAAATGAAGTGGAAATGTATTAAACTATTTTGGGCCAAGAATCCTTTATGATGAATGGTAATAGTCAAGAAAGCATGTCACCAATGTGCGTTAGGGAGGGCACTTAGAACAAAACTCACTCTATGATTATGAAATTTCTTGAGAAATGTCCAATTTATTATCTTTCTCATTTTGTATTTTGAGACTGTCTTAAAGGGGAAACAAACTTTTAGTGTGAATCTTCCCTACAAATGAAGTATTTATTGGTTGCTTATTTTTTTAGGAGGTAGAGAAACTTCCTGCACCAAATGGCGTGAAACCAGTTAGTCCCGAGCAAGAAGAGCTTATCCACAGGCTAGTGTACTTCCAAAACGAATACGAGCAACCTTCTGAGGAAGACCTCAAAAGGATCACTGTAAGTTGTAATGCAATAATTAGCCTATTATTTAGTAAGTAATAATTTTTACCTAACTAGTTCTCATCATTATTGTTTTTTCACAGAACACTCCTTCTGATGGTGAAGATCAGAGTGATCTCAGGTTTAGACACATAACAGAGATTACAATACTTACAGTCCAACTAATTGTGGAGTTTGCTAAGAGATTACCAGGATTTGACAAACTCCTTCGTGAAGATCAAATTGCCTTATTGAAGGTACGTTTTATTCATTTAAAATATGTTCTTAATTATTGCAGTGTTTTTCGTATCTTGTCAGTTTGTATCTTCAAAAGTATAAATATTAAATGCTAATTTTTCATCTTCAGGCATGTTCGAGTGAAGTCATGATGTTCCGCATGGCTCGAAGGTATGATGTGAATTCAGATTCTATTCTCTTTGCCAACAACCAGCCATACACAAAAGATAGCTATAGTATTGCTGGAATGGGAGACACTATTGAGGATATGTTGAGATTTTGCCGTCAGATGTATGCTATGAAAGTCGACAATGCTGAATATGCTCTACTGACAGCAATTGTCATATTTTCAGGTAAGGAGAGTTTCAATTGGGAATAATGTGATGGTTAAAAATTAAAATATTGTTCTTGATATTACCCAGTTATTCATTAATTATTTTGAATGTCTAAATTTGTTAAATACCATTTCAATTTCTAACTTTTAACCTTTTGTCTTCCAGAGAGGCCATCACTTATTGAAGGCTGGAAAGTGGAGAAGATTCAAGAAATCTACCTGGAAGCCTTAAAAGCATATGTGGACAATAGGCGCAAGCCCAGGTCAGGCACTATATTTGCCAAACTTCTGTCTGTGCTTACAGAATTAAGGACACTTGGGAACCAAAATTCTGAAATGTGCTTCTCCCTTAAATTGAAAAACAAGAAACTGCCTCCTTTCCTAGCAGAAATTTGGGATGTCATACCCTGAACAGATTACCCATTAAGTAATTTGCCAGAGCACTGTTTCAAGTACATTCGTCCCTGTGTGTATGTGCAATGAAGTGTAAATTGAATGGAAGAGTGCATTTTGAAAGAACGTGCTCAAACCAACTGTGAGGCAGAATTGTGGTGCATTGAGTGTAATGTCACTCAAAAATATTACTGAATTTAGTTTCTGTAAGGCTACAGTGTGCGCTAACAGTACTCGCCCAAACTGCAACGTTAATAAGAATGTAGCTGGCAGGGATGAAAAGTACTATCTGGTTATTATTCTAGTGCAAGCAAATGCTTTTGTAATTTTTGTTGTACAAAACCAGCAATGCTGTACAAAGTAATCTTGCTTCTTTTCAAGAATAAATATGTGAATGTATGCCAAATGGCAGCCAGAGAATTACACAAATGAATATTTGTTTGTGTTTCTGTGTAGGCGTTGGCCTCGTTATTTCGTTACTTTTTATTATTCCTTGAAAACAGAGGTCTTCATTCAAGTCAAGGAATTATTTTTTTATGTTCACTTCCTGTGTAACTTAGCAACGTGTGATAATGCAATTTTATCATGAATATTTTATCCTAGAATTCTAAATTTACCACCTCAGTAACACAAATAAACCGATCAATCAATCAATCAACATGCATGTCTTTATTAACTTCATATAGATCAGAAATTAGTGATGCTGATATAAAGTGTACAAAACAAAGCACCGTGTTTTGCATTGCAGTAGAAGACTGACTGGGGTCCTTTCTGGAGACAGATGGTACCATTCCCCGTGGTGTAGCTATATTTTTATTAATTAAAATTGTACTTTGTCAGTGTACTATTCTCCTAAACACCACATTAGAACACTTTTGTCTTTCACCTGATATACATTGAGTTGGTAAATAATTTCAATTCTTTGATTCAACTGTTACCATGTTTCTGTTTGGCCAGTTTATTTACTTTGGTGACTATTAATTTCAATCGGTAGTTTTTTATCTTAATGCAAGTAGTTTTTTGAAGCCATTATTTTGACTATACAGTCAATGCCAGTACTAATTTAGACCTCTAAAGCAGATCAAAAAAATAATATAGGTTTTAAGACAAAAGTAACGTGTGGTTAATCATATTGCAAACATTCAAGTTTACCCAAGAAATGTTGTTTAATTATGAGAAATTAATTGACACTTTACTGTAACTCTTTAAGTTTCACTACAGATACATAAATATTGAAACGTTCTAGCTTTATTTGGCCAAGTAATAGAATAAAAACTATTTCTTTGAGAATGAGATAATAGTACATTGTGAATGACTGACTAATATGTATGGTTATAAAAGTTCATGCTGCCTCCTAGCAATATGACTTGTGGTAAATTGTAATGTTTTAAAATATGCAAGTGTATCCCCCCTTTCTATGTATTAGAGTTTGGACAAACAAGTGGTCCACGAGTAGCATCTGTTTCGCTGTTCCTATTGTACCAATGATATGGATACTTCAGTGGTTGTGATAGTGCTTGATATATTGATTGATTTTTTTTTTTTTTTTTTTTTTTTTTTTTTTTTTTTTTTTTTTTTTTTTTAATTTTTTAAAAATGCAGGTGGCTAGTGTTCAATAGAAGATAGGTTTTCTTCAAATTGAGATTGTTATAATTTTCTTCCTCAGAATTGGACCTATTCCACCAAAATAAGCAGGCTGTGAAATAAAATAAGGTTCATGTTGAGTTATTGGTCAACTTAAACAGAAGTGCAAAAATGATCAGCGATAATGGTACAAGAAGCAAGAAAGATTGATTGCTTTATTTAAAGAAAGAATTAAAGAATATTATATTATATACAAATGTCTATATATTAATGTCTGTATTGATTGTCAAATACTTGTGAATGAGAATGAAGAGTGACAATGGTTAAAAGAAAGATAAGTGTTAATTGTTGTATTTAGAGCATTATTTATACAGTAATCATAGAGTAAAACCACTTGTTCCGTGAAATGAAAAGACTGGATCTTGCAGACTGGTGCCTTTTTTAAGTTTGGATATGCTGGGAAGGGGGGAATAAAACTGTAAATGGTGCATTGTGAGAAATTGTGAAGATGATGTATGTTATTAAAGGTGCTGCCTTTTCAGGCATACAAACTGTAAGAGAATTATGTGCTCTGTACATTATGTAACTATTCTCTGAAGATGTGTGACGTTATATGCAGTGATATATAAATATATATAAATGTCTGTACAGTAAGAGGAAAATACCCGTCCGTTTCTAAAGCATAAAGGTATATATTAGTTTGTTTCAGATACATTTAAAATGAACTTTCAGTTAAGATGACAAGTTCAGTTATTTATTTGGTATGTGACCAAATGAGTATTTTGTCAATTAAAGTGACAGTGCAAAAAATGGATTCATCACAATTTGTTTGGAAAAGTGTGACTTTGTGAAGTGAATATCTATTGGTTTAGTTTACTGCCTTATGTGGAACAAGGGACACTTGTCAAGTGCGTTGTATTGACCCTTTGTGGTCTCAACAAATCATATATGAAACTCCCTTCAAGATATTCAAGATCTTGTAGAAGTGAGAAGCTACATGGACTATTCCTTTTTTAAATAAATATTAATTAGAGAAATAAGGAAACATTTTTCATGATATTCTCATGCCATTTACCAAGACCTATAACTTTTTGTAATTATTCATATTATAATCCTTCAGAGAGGAATTTTATATTCCTTTCAGAAAAGGCTGACTGAATAACAGACTACTGTCAACACTACTGAAGAAAAGTGAAAGATGACATTGATTTTTTTTTCTTCCTTCTTTTAAATTGTCAATGTAAGGACTGAAAAAGGCATTATAAGTCTTTCAATGAAACATTACAAGCTTTGTGCTGTTATTTTTCATCCTCCCAGTTTGTAGCACTGTGCAGAGAGAAATCTGTTCCAGAAATGGAATATAGAAAAATGAGATGGCAAACTTTTTATATGAATATAAGTATATATACAACAGTTTTTACATGCTATATTAACTATCCTGCCTATACACGAGTCATTCATGTTGAACAGCATCCCAGTCAGAATAAACGATGCAACATAACGAGGATCCTTGTCCTTCACGAACCCCTCTGATTAAATGCCCTCTTTATTTAACCTTTGAAAATTCCTATAAAAGCTATTAACCCATGTGATCTCTCAAGTTTTGCGTTAGGTTCGTTATTACGCATTCATATATACATTTGTAAAGAAATTTTGAAGATGCTTGTCCATTACTACATTTTTTAATTCCTTTATATATTATGCCAATATGCACTTTTTAAGTCCATGTGTAGTTTAGTTGCAGCATAGTACAGTGATGTTGCGCCAAGTATTGCCTTATAAAACAATTGATAAAAGTAAATTTCGGAAGATAAAACTGTGTTCCAGCAGTTTTCAGCAAGTTTGTGCTAACTGATTATTTTATTAAAATCAATGTATTATAGTTGCTGAGAAATTTCGAATCTTCCCGTTTGTATTAGTTCTAAACTTCATCTACTTTGACTTGTTTGTTACGATTTCCTGACATCAGAAAGATAAGGCTCAACATCAAATATCACTGCCCTTTTATGACTTTTTAAAATGCCTTGCATTTAGAGCTACAACAAAAAAGTGCTATTCTTTAGTTTTGTGTCCTCAATTTGAATTTTGGAAGCAAATACTATTTGTTCTCACTGCCATTTCACTGTCCACTGAATACGTTTTTAAAGAACCTTTTATTCATATTTCCCTGTCCATATGCATGCAGTTTTAATACAAGAACTTGTGACGTGTTCAGTTTTTATAACATATATAGTATATTATAGAAAAAGAAATAGCACATGATTGATAACTGTTAAAAGGAATTTGTTGTACTTCTGTATTGTCTATACTTTACCATTTCAGATACATAATACATGTAAGGTAAATTTCATTTTATGATGAATAAGTCAGGAAGAAATATTGACGAAGGAATGAATGTTTTGCAGTTTATTAAAATTTGTACAGGTGTTAGGGTATATGAATTATATTTCTGTCAGTATGCAAAGACTTTCTGTTAAATGCACAACTAATGCACTGCCACTTCTATTCAGTGAGATCCGTATAAAGGCCATCTTTGTGTTCATACAGTCTGTTGAAAAGCATGAGAAAGGAAAAATTTTTTGCATGGTATCTTGATTAGTATTGTACCACATCTGTTTAGCATTCATAAATTATTGAAAGCATTATTCGTAAATATAATGCTTTCATATTACAGAAATTAGTTTCTTGAAATTTTTAAGATGCTCAAAGGAAAATGACGCGTTTTGAACTCTACATTTGTGACTTGAGATGTTTCAGTGATAGTTTATAAATAAAGAAATAGCAATTAATGCAGTTGTTTGGCTATGTACTTAAATGACTGCCATGTAAAACACTGCCAAGTAATTTACATTTTACTGCCAGATAAGTGTGAATTTAGTGGTTTTTATTGCATATTGTACTTGATGGACTCTGCATGTTTTTATGTGTTTACCTGACTTATTTGTCATAAAATTTAGGAGTATCTTAATGTTATTATAAAATTATATGAATGTCGTACTCTTGGTAATTCAGTATAATTTTGTGTTATTTGCAAGTTGGTTGGTAATATAAGAATTAATCGTCAAAATGTCAGTCTCTTATATCTGACGTTCTACAAAAAGTCAGCTCGTTGCTACAAGTGTATAGAATGAGATCATGGAAAAACTTCCGCAAATAACACAGTTTGTTGTGGAAATGCTAACCAGATGTTGCTAGGATTTATTTGTCTGTCGTGAGAAGTACATTTATGGCATTGAATATGGACATCCAGAAATTGCATTTAAAATCAATAGAAAAGTTACAGAGGGGTATTTGTCTTAAAAGTCTTCATAAATTAGATCCTATTACATGAAACAAGCAAGTGTTTCTCTTTTTATTTTTTGTAAATGGATTTTTTAATTTAATTTTAATTTTTTTTCGTAGTAACTTTCTCACAAACTCGTATTTGATATATCTGATGTCAAGAACGTCTTTGCTAAAAGGTGCCTCTGTATTTTGGATGTTGATTGGGCAAATGATTAAGATTTAACTGTTGTGTATTAGATGACGTCAGTGCCTGGGTATGTGAATTTGATGTTGCTTCTATTTTAGAAAGTATTGCATGTTACATGTAATTAGGAATGACACTAAAAACAAAATTTTATTACCGAGATATTTGGTTTGTCTCTTCATTTTTCTACTTGGGTACCTGGTGTATTATGTGTAAATACATGTGTATATTATTAATGCTTAACGACTTAATGTATGCTAAACAATGAAATATTTGTATTTTGTTTATTCAAATATTGGTAAGTTGGAAAAAGTGCATAACCTACACTGCAGCTCTATAAAGATACATAATATTTCACAAAATTAACCTCTCTTTACCCTTCTCAATGAACAAATAAGTAGATGGTCTTTCATAAAAATGGAGGTTTATCTTCACAGATCATGTACCAATTCTTTTATTTCAAATATTCTGTTTTAGAATGACTTGATCCCACCATCTGGAATTATTTTATCAATAATAATCAATTTGTCCTGTCGAAAATCTTCCTACTTCTGTATTTTTAAACGGCTTTCATTTTTAGTATAAATAGCTTCTTGGCATCAGACTATCGCTTTTGTATGATTGTACATAAATGTACAGTGTTCACCAACTAATTTGTTGCTATTGCATTAGTCATGATTTTGTATTATTGTATTAATAGATACTTATAAAATTTGTGGAGTGTGTAAATAATTTTTTATTCTGAAAGTTGTGCTGGTTAGAAAATTATGGGACGATGTTAAATATAGGTTTAGTTATAATTTCAAAACATAAGTTTCCAATTTGTGTAAATAAAAATTTTGTTACTGTATGTAGTTTTCCAGATTTAAGTGAAGCTATTTCTTAAAAGTTATTTTACCACAGTGCAATATGTACAAAGTCAGTATATTGTAAGAAAGAACTTTACCTACACTGGGCAACATTGCTGTGCAACTGAATATATGAATTTCAAATTCTAACTCAATAGTGTTATGTTAGTTTTATCAAGAACTGCAACATTATTGTGTTATTTGTAAATAATATATAAATTTTGAAATAAGAGTACATTAGTTGAATTAAGAGTTAAGCAGTTTGCTCTCTCCTTGTTTACATTGAATTAAATATCTTGAACTATTCTGTATTCATAAGACTCAAATTGCTCTTCATAGAAACAACTGTTGCAAAAAATATATGCAAAATATTGCCCAGAGGAGTATTTTGTAGAGGTTAAGAGCTGCAGTGCGTTCTTTTAGCTGGCTCAGTATTATTAAACATACTATTCTGTTCTATAATTTCCTAATAGTGAATATTTAGTGCAAAGAGTTTTAACCCTGGAATTTCCTTTCTGTTTATTAACTAAATTTTTGTTATACATTTTATTTGTTTTTGATACACTTGCAAGAATTTGCATAATGAATGGATAAATTTCTTTGGACATGATTTCATGTCCATGAAAGACCTGATTTTTGTAAGAAAATAATTTGACAGAAATATGAAATGTTGCAATTAGAATATCTAGTTAATCACAAAAAAGGTATTGTAATGAAGAAAAGTCTTGAAGGAATTTCAAAGTGAGAGGAATAGCAAGAAGTGTAATGATACTTTTTATGTAATATAATGTTCATATGGAAAATGTTTTATGCAAGTTCCTTCAAGATTTTTCAATGTGTATGTACAGAAATAGTTTATGAAAATGGTGCATAAAATATTAATTACATCATACAAATTAATAGTGGATGATAATACAAACTTGTTCTATTTTGTGCAGTAAACAAACAACACAAAGTAAAGTCACAACTTTCATTTATTTATTCCCAATTCCAGTGTGTTCCATTTCACAAGTTTCTAATTGATCATATTTTAGTATTTTTTTTATTTAAATACCAAAAATATAATGGAGTGATGATGTAGTATATGACAAAGGAAAACTGCTAAGATGTGAACTGAGATCTAAAATCCATCAGAGAGAAAATTGATTGAAAATAAAAAATCTTAATCTTGCCTGTTGCAATCTTTGATAATAGTACCTACATTTGGAGTGTCTTTCAAAAGATCAAGTTGCACGAATTTCTATCTTCATATTTAGATGTTAAAGACTAAATTTAAAAAGAATTTAAATTATCAAAAATTACAGTGCTGAAGGAAACTTCTCATAATCAAGAAAGTATTTAACAGTCGTAACGTAGATTGAAAACAATTTTACAATCGATTGACAATTTTTTGAGAAGAATCGGAGATAAATATACAATTATTCATGTTAAATAGTTGTTGCATAGATTAATCTGCAGTTCAAGAGAAAACTACCTGTAAGTGAAAATTCAAAACTTATTCAGGTATCACCTATGTTGTGTGTGGCCAGGAGAAAACTGAAAGTTAAAAAATGTTAGGTGGGGGAAAATTTGCGATTTTTTTTACAGCAAAACCTACCTTATATTGGGGACACCTATTCCCCTACTACAATGCTCGTTAATATTATTAAAATTTGAGAGTAATTTGAATGTATGCTTTCCTTGTTTTCATTCATGCTAGGTTTGTAGAAGACAAAGCATTTCATGTTATGAAATGCTAGAAGGCACGTAAGAAACTAGTAAGGCATACAATTTTTAAGTAAAAAAATGGGGAAAAGCCATAATTTTGGGAATGTATGGTATCATACATGTATGAAACGCCCAACTTCCAAATATTGTTATTAAAACAAGTGGCGGTTTCTCAGAAAAGGGAGGAAAGTTCTTCTATGGGGTTGGAGATAGCTGTGACGTATTTTACCTTCATCATGAATTAAACTGCTCTCGCTTTTAAGCCAGGCAAAACTGATATAAATTGTTCTTAAGAGGAATTGTCAGCCTTTTCTCCTCCAAAACAAACTCATGAAGTTATCGCCTGCAGAGTCCCAAGATATAGGGACCACAGAGGACTGCAGTAATTTTATATTCTTCCCTGTAGGAACTCTTAATCTAGACTTATCGCCCATATCTCACAGCAATCCTGCGGCCACGGGAGAAAAAATATTTGTGCTCTGGGTCATGGTTCAGAGCGCTGAAACCTGCGGTGGCCCTCAAGAAACTCGCCCAATTGCTTTGTCTATCTTAGCCTTGTGCTCGCTTGTTATTTCATTCGAGTGCTTTTTTCCCCTGGTGTATTTTAACGACGAACGTATTCCACGGACCGAAGACCTTACGACGAATTCTCTCCTTTGGTTTCAAGCTGTAGGTCTAGTTACATTTCACAAGTACGTATCGATGAATCTGGCATTATTTTATTTATTTCTTCATTTTTCCCCAAAAATCCCGCATTTATATTCGGCTGTTCTTCCAGATTTTGCATCAGTCTTCCGTCCCATATATTTAGGTACGTTTTGCGAGGATACAAGCAGGGAATTTGGAAAATAGTTCTGATGAAAGCAGGGCGAGCCAATGTTACTTTAACGCCTCCCAATGCACACTAAAATCCTTCTATGTACTTCTATGCACACCAAAATCTATTCAATGTTCTTTGTTTAAATAATAACTGAAATAATTGTCATTGCCAACAACGTTGTTTATTTTACGAGCAGCTCTCGATGGCTTTGCCAACATCAATTATCTGCTGTATAGAAGCTACAAAACGACTGGCTTCCATACAGCAGATAACTGATGATGATTACTAAGCCATCATCATCTGCCCTTATAATAAACAATATTGTTGGCAATGACGACTCATATTATTATTTCATTGGAAATGCGAACGAAAACTCACCACAATACCAATAATGCAGCATTACAATGGGAGCTGCAGAACCTCCACGTATTCTACGTCTCCTACATCTTTTTTGGAGAGGCTTTGCTCTAGAAAGACCGTTTCTGTTTTTGGAGGACTCAGACAGGGCCGGATTTAAGTAGTGCGGGGCCCCAAGCACAAAATTGTGTTGCCCCCCCCCCTCCCCCCGAAAAAATAGCTCCACCTTTATTAAATAAAAAATGTATTATAGTACAATTACAATGAGGTTTGCATTAAAAAGTTATATATATTCAGTTATAAGTAAACGAAATAAAGTATAGTTAATATTATACTAATTTAACATGTGATAAATGTTTTTAAAAAAATGTTTTGAAATTGTACATTTTGTTACACAGTAGACTACTTGATTAACAATTATTTCACAGACAAAAAAATATGGTATGCGTATTTTTCCGAAACGCGGGGCCTCTGGTGAATGGGGGCCCCCAAGCACTGGTTGTTTTTCTTGTAGGTAAATCCGGCCCTGGAGTCCAAGTTTACTCCCCGAGCGATCAATTCGCCAACCCAACAGGAGCTGGCGCAGCGCGCTGCGACGTTTTCGTTGCTGCGCTCGGCGAGGTTTCCGAGCTGCAATTCGAAGCTTGTGTACATTTAGCATGGCTGTCAATCACAGTTGTTGGGCGGGGCTCGCCCTCGAGCTGCGCTCCAAGCGCTCCAAGCGCACCAAGCTCGCCCGCGAGCTGCGCTCCAAGCAGCTACAGTGTTCCGCGGCCCTCCGAGTGCTTCGCGACGATCGCCGAACCGCATGACGCAACTGCCCTTCCAAAGTTCCAACGCGTAATCACTGAGCACGTGCGTCTCGTACAGGTTTCTTAATTATTTCATAGAGTGATTCGGTATCTTGTGTGTAGTGCACCGTGCTTTGGTAAGGCATTGTGATCGGCGTGTGCAAAGGTGTTCGTGTGCTTCTGCTTATGGAAAGGTTCCCTATTAACTGCTGACATTGCGTGATATCATTGAGTCGAAAATGAATTCTGTGAGTCGCCTCATTGAACAGCCATTTTCTTCCGTGGTTTATGAGGAAAAGGTACGAGCCAAGGAACAAGGTAGGCCCCTTCCCGATTTAAAACTCGAAGTTTTAGGCAGCAACCGAGGCAAAACGGATACAACGTGTTTCGGTAAAGCATATGAAAGGAACAAGTGGAAATGCATGTGTGATCAATTGGATGCTGTTTTCTGTTTTACGTGCGTTCTTTTTGGTGGGGAAAGTGCGCGGTCAAAGACATGGGTGAAAGATCTTGTGTACCTCTCCACGAAAATAAGAAGAAAGAAAAATAGCATGAGAATTTGAAGACACATTTGAATAATCAAGTTCACTTATCACTTCTTAGGACAGTAGACGTACAGTCTCAACTGGATTCTACGTATTGGTCGAATATTCAGAAGCAGAATGAAAATGTCATCAAAAATAGGAATGTTCTTTCGAAAATAATTAGTTGTATAAAGTTTTGTGGAGAGTTTGAACTCGCATTTTGTGGCCATAATGAGACAGATAATTCGTCTAATCCTGGAATATTTCGAGGATTGATAGATTTCAGCGCTTATCTGGATCAAACTTCGAAAGAGTGCTTCTCAATTTAAAGGAACCTCTAAAACAATTCAAAATGAACTTTTGGACAGTATGCTGGGAGTGGCTCGCGAGGAAATTACACAGGAACTGGGACAGGCACGTTTTGCTGCTTTAATCGCCGACGAAACTAGACAGTTCTTCAAGATTTCAACTGGTAATAGCGTTGCGTTATGTGAAGGATGGCATTCCTGTTGAAAGATGGTGAGGATTCGTTAAGCCTCCTAAACACGATAGTGAGAGTCCGGTTCATACTATTTTAACTCAGATTGAACCACTCATATCAACCGAAAAATTGATTGCACAGTGTTACGATGGGCCAACCGTAAAGAGCGGAGAGCACGCAGCATTTCAACGCAAAATTAAATTTTAAGTATCGGAAAGCACATTTCTTACAGTGCTATGCTCATCAGTTAAATCTAACGACGCAACAATCTTATTCTCAGAATAAACAGATACGCGTGTTCAGAGGCGGAATTTCGGATCTTTAATGGGGGAGCTAAGGGTCCCTCCACATACGATGGTAAAAAGTTCCCCTAAACCAAATGGTATAAGAGTAGTTTCACTATCATTCTAACAAACAATATTTTTGAAAGATTTCTTAGCCCCCGTCCCACCATCCACGCCCCTCTACAGCCAGAAACGTGTTTTTTATTTCATTTTTTTGTCAACGTAACACTATTTTATCGGATTGAAAAATACGGAAAATATCGACATAATTTATACTATCAGAAAAAACATGTTTTGTAGCACCGCTGTGTGTTGAAACCATCTGCCCACACCTCTGCTCAGCCGATCATGAAGGCGCCCTGTTCCCGGTGAACGCTCGCATCTCGGTTCTGATGCGTTCGATTCTATTCGACTGCACTTTCGTCCTTCCAACTAACGGGCATTACAACGCGCGTACGATGACTACTTTTACGGTAACAGATTAGCGTTTCGAGATATCTCCACGACCTCACAACGGTGCGAGAGTAATAAGTTCTGCCATAGAATACCTTCAGCTCAGGGCAGTGACTCTGCGAACTTAACGTTTTCGCGGTTTCTCTCCTGGTTCGTATGACCGGACTCGTTAACGTTCAAATCTCATTCACCCGCGACCACTCTCAACCCCCGAATCCTCTCCGTCCTTTCGCGACCACTCTCCTTAATGTTTCAATCTCTTCTCTCAGTTTGCTTCCCTACCTAACGTCATCACCTTATACTAGCTCTTCCTCCAGACCCATTAAGACCCCGCCCTCTCTCCTGCTCCAATAGTATGTTCCTTTTCATTTTCTAATTTTTTTTTACCAGATTTCTGATTGGGCCGCAGCCGTATCCGATTGCCACGCTGCCACTGCCGTGAATCCTGAAGTATTTGCGACACTCGATCGAGCTCACGCGTTGGCCTCGTTACGGCTGTCCGTACTTGGTTCCAACATTGAAGGGGGGCATTGAAGGGCAG